ATGGGAAAAATAGTTGACATAACTCCAATTATGTACACACGGAAAAGTTAAAACCCGAACGGTAACTGCAGTTTGTCCTTGAATCAAAAAAAAAAAGTCGTTTCGTGTACAGTCGCAACCATTCAAATGCAATCTACTTATTCCAATCCAGAATCAAGATCTTTCGATTCATTTCACCGTCGCAAATGTGAATTGGTCGAACCAAACACTTTTAAAGAAGAACATCATTTCTATCCTAAAGCTGTACATGCACATTTGAGTGAAATTGTTAAAGAGTTTATGACATTAGGTAAGTTGTTACAAGTGACAAGGAAATCAGCTCAAGCATTCACAACACAAGATACTCCTCAACTTGTCAAAAGATTCTGTGAACTTCATCCAAATGTACAAGAAACTAATCTCATGAACGTTCTCACTTTCAAACCTCAATTCTTCAATTGGTCAGGCTCTGACTTGTTTCATGTCTCCGATCATACTGGTTCCAAGAGCATGGTTCTCATTGAAACAAATTCTTGTCCATCGGGTCAAAAAGCAATGCCCAAGATGGATTCGATGAGAATGCAACATGACAACGTACACAGAGGTTATCGCACTCTCATCGAAAACATGTTCAAACCAATGCTCGAACAGCACGAACGAATGCTTGGACCTCATATGGTGAAAGATGGAAAGCTTGCTGTGGTTTATGATAAGAACAAGATGGAAACTTGGGGTTATGCAGCGATAATTGCAGATGTGTTTAGAGAATCTGTATATTTGGTCGAGTACAAAAACCAAGACGATGATCCCTCTGTCAGATTTGTGGGAAACAATCAAATAATGCAAATTCGTGATGTTAACAACCAGTGGATGAACATCAGAGCTTGCTTTAGATATGTCACTCAAAAGCCATGGAATCGATTGCCAATTTCAAAGATTAGAACGCTCATTATCAATCCTGTCGTTTGCTGCTTGGCTGGAGGAAGAAACAAACAACTTGCAGCAATTGCATTTTCTAAATTCAATATGGAAAAGAACGTTGGTATACAAATTAATACTCCAAAGACAGTTTACAATGTTGAAAAACAGATGATACCATATTGGATTACATATTTTGGAGGAATTGGTGTGATCAAGAATCCTTATTCAAATGCTGGACAAGGAGTATGGGTAATCACTAACACAAAAGAGTTAAAGCAATTTATGGACACTATTGACAGCAAGTATGAGAAATTTGTTGTGCAGTCAATGATTGGTTGTAAAGCTTGGAAAAATACTCACTTTTACCACGTTGGAACTGTACCTGATAAGGACAACAATGTCTTTGTGGCAGATTTGAGAATGATGGTTCATTTTGATTATACAATGAATGAATTTCGCCCTCTTGCTCTGTTTGCTCGAAAAGCAAGAAAACCATTGCAACATTCAATGAACAGCGACAACTGTACTAGTTGGGATATGTTTGGGACAAATCTCACATTGGTTGGTGAAAAAGGTAGTTGGGACACGGATCAGTCAAGATTAATTACTTGTGATGAAATTGATTTTCCAACATTAGGATTAACTTTGGACAACTTGATTGAAGCGTTTGTTCAATCAGTATTGGCGAACGTTGCTATTGACAAGCTTGCCATTTCTATTTGCAACTCCACAAATAGCAAATTTGACAAGGCGTTGTTTGAAAAATTAAATCAAGATAAGATCCTTCAGCAAGAATTATTCGATGAATGATAAATATTATATAATACATTACATTATAAATTTGCGTTCTCTTAAAAATTAGTCTGCACATGTTAATTGGAATTTTTGATGAATAATATAATAAATTCGAATTCATTCAAGATCTGTCTGAACAGAATAAGGGTTTTGGTGATCAACCTTAATGTTCAAATATTGTCTCGTGCGAAAGTTGAGATCCATATCTCCAATGAAAATCCTTCCCAATTGCATGTAACACCAATTTGAGCTATTTCCAAATTTAGGTCTTCGAATTGCGAAATTCCAGTATCACCAGCGTAGATTTTAACTTCTAACACTTATTCTTCCCCTTCTCCTTTCTGTTAACTGTCGAGGGATTATCCTTAAAATGGTATGATTGCCGATAAGAGGTTCACTTCCAAATTCTTTTAAATCAAAGTTTCCGGTTGTTTGCCGACCCCAAATCAAAAATTCGACAAGAAAATGTCTGCATCGTTTTACCAAGAGTTTACCGAAGTTTCTGCAATTCGAAAGACCTTCGATTCAACACAACCAGAGGAAAAAACTCTCCATCCTTGTTCCAAGAACCTTCTCCGTCCATAACTTACAGCCAACCCTCATTGGTGACAACGAAATTCTCTTTCACAATGCTCAAGATCCGGCCTTCTATCAAATGAAACTCGAAAATCCTCAATTCACTGTTTGGATTCTCTGTAAGGAGGTTAAATATCTGTACTCACAAAAGAATTTTTGAATGTGCTTGGAAAGCAAACATTCAGGTCAAATTAATGGAAATTGGAAGATTTGAATTTGTCGTCCACAAAGGCAGCTCCAATCTCTTATATGATGGTACTTCCATTGATCTTCCACAAGTGGTCATTCCAAGATTGGGCGCAAAAATTAATTATTATGGATTGGTTGTTCTTTCGTTATCTGGAAGGAATTCCATCTCCACTGAGACCTCTCATCCTTAACACCTCATCTTCCATTGAAGTTGCTCGAGATAAATTCTTTACCATGCAACGACTGGTGGCTAAGAACATTCCAGTTCCAAAAACATGCATTGCAAAATTTCCACTGGATATCCAAAAGATTGAAAACTCTTTGCTTTCCCCTCTCATTTTCAAGAAAGCATCAGGATCTCAAGGAAATGGTGTCATGTTGGTTCAAGACAACGCTCAACTGGCCGACATTGCTGAATTGGTCGATCCAAATACCCAATTATTAATTCAAGAGTTCATTAAAGACTCCTCTGGAAAGGACATTCGAGTCATCGTGATTGGTGGAAGAGCTATTGGAGCAATGAAAAGAATTGCAAATAAGGGATTTAAATCAAATTTCCATCAAGGAGGAAGAGTGGAACCAGTGCAGTTGACACTTGAATTGGAATTGTTGGCAGTAGAGAGTGCCAAAGCTTGTTGTTTAGACATTGCAGGAGTGGACATTTTGTTTGACGGAGATTCCCATAAGATATGTGAAGTGAATTCTTCTCCAGGCTTTGAAGGTTTTGAATTGGCAACGGGTATTGATGTGGCAAAAGAAATTCTCATGTATTGTAAAAACAATCTTAACTGTTGAGTCCAAATGGAAGAAATTGTGTGGTAATGTAAATGTTTGAAAACAATTTAAATTCATCATGCAAATTCTTTTTATCAGAAACAAAAAATATTTCTTCATTTGATGAAATTTAATCAGCACCGCATTGACGTAGTTGTTTTTCGGAGCTCATGCACACTTCAATACTCGGTTCAACAATTATCATGAATTTATGTCATGCTATCGGATGAACAGATATTCTGTATGGTGATACTTTTTTTAATCCGTCATTGCCTTTCATGTTGTAGTGCACGAAACCATTCATCTCACCCGACATGACAACCTCAAATTACCAGTTTAACACACTTCCTAATAACGATTTTCCAAGAATGTGATATCAAATTTCGGGTAAAATTTCGATTTGTAATTTTGATTTATCGTCTCTTATTTACCGAAAAAGCATCTTCATGAATAATTTCTCGTTGATTGTTCTAAATTATTACATATTTGGGAAATTCCCGATTCTGTAAAGTTTGATATTTGGAACAAAAAGTAACTGAAAGGCTCTTATTGACAAATTTATAAGGTTTGGTTCAAAAGGGAAAATTACATCATGAAGTTCTTTTTGAGATTTAATTCTCAAATGATGAGCCTGCTAAAAAACTATGTCAAGATTGACCAGTGATCATCATCACCAATACTCGCCACAAGAGTATGCTGCTCAAACAGAAAGCACAGAGGAACAGAGAAAAGATCATGGGCCATCATCGAGCAGTTCAACCTCTAAACATTCCTCTCCATTTCACAAGAGTACTAGTTTCGAGAAAATAACCGATACTATTTTGCCCGCTTTCTTTACACCCTGTGTAGTTGAAGGGTTTCCATCTTCGGTTATTCATTACGGCAAGCTTTCTTCAAGAGTGATCACTTGTCATTACACACCACAACATTACAGAGGTGCTATTGCACTTCCTTTGGATTTCAACACTGTTTATTGTCTAAAAATTGCACTCAGTACACCATCCGTTACTCAACTGGAAAGAGAAGTCTCGATATGCAATTACTTGAATAATTCTCTACCAAATAATGACATTGTACCCAAAATATTCACATATCTAAGCGACTATTTTATACTGGTACGAGAACTTGTAGTTGGAAGGTCTTTTCGAGATTATTTCAAAGAGTGGGGCGAAATTTGTAACAAGTTGGAAAACCTCTCTTTATTTACTTATCACTTAACCCTATGCAAAGAATTGCACGACATTCTTGATATTTCAATTAAGGCATGTGATTCTCTTAGTCAAATACATTCATTACGTGTTTGTCATCTTGACTTGCGCCCTGAAAATCTCATAATTGACACACATCATTCAACCGTAAAAATTATTGATTTTGGAATGGGTTGTTTTTTATCATTAGACAATCCCTTTGTATATTCAGACAAACCTATAGGTTATTTTCCATACATGTCTCCTGAAGCAACTGGAAAGATTTCGAAACCTATTGGATTTCATTCTGATATTTACAGCTTTGGATTTATGCTCTATGAGATGTTGGCAAAAGAGCATCCATTCGGTAGCAATAAGGCAAATTCTGAATATATATTCTCTCACATAACTCATCAACCGGAGGTTCTTTATAATAATCTTAAAAGAAGGGGCTTAATAATGGACGAAACATCTTTATACGCAAAATTAATGAGCGCAGTATCTGCAGTAGTCACTAAAATGGTGCAAAAAGCTATAGACAAAAGATATATGAATTTTGAGGGAGTTAAGCAAGACCTGCTACTAATTTTAAAATGCCTACAGACCAATGACATGTCTTTCCTAAGAGACTTCATTGCCGGAGAACGTGATATTCAAACAAATCTGACCATTCCTTTTGTTGTTTATGGAAGACAGAATGTGATAGATGCTATGACTTGCACGCTGAATGAAGTACGCGATTATAAGCAACCCAAAGCATTGTTAATAAGTGGATATAGTGGAGTTGGTAAGTCTGTGAATACCGTTGCCACATACTCATGACATTATTATTAAGGTAAATCATGTGTTGTAAGAGAGTTCAGAAATAAGTTCAAACAAGATGTTTGCTTTATTGAGACTAAATATGACCAATCTCACAACGTACCTTTTTTTGCTTTAACTTCAAAAATGAATTCTATAATTGAAGATATTTTAGGAGAACCGGAACACATAATATCTGATTTTAAAATGCGGTTGACTTCTTTGCTTGAAAGTACTCAAATAGAGGCACTATGTGAGACAATTCCCAATCTTAATTTGCTCTTTTTTTAGTACTCCAAAACAATCTACAAAACGCGCACAGATAGCCATTAGGTATAAAGAACATGGTGAAGCAGTGAAATCATTTTCACAATCAGGTAATTATTTACCTTTTTATGATGCACAAGAGTTGAAAAACAAATATAATTTAGTGATTCATTTACTCCAAATCTATAGGAATTTGAAAAACAAACCTTTGTGTATTTTTTTAGATAATCTACAGTGGACAGATTATGAAAGTATCAACTTGGTAAAAGAAATTCTTGGATTGGGAACCTGTGAAACTTTTCCCTTTCTATTAATTGGAGTATATAGAAACCGTGAGATTAAAGAAAACACCCCACTCGGAAATTTTCTTAAATACGTAAAACCGAAGGCTTCCAATATCACTGAGATTGTACTTTCTGAGCTTTCACTCGAAGATTGCAATTCAATGGTCGCATCATCATTGAAGCGCTCCCTTTACGAGACAATTAGCCTTACAAGGATACTGTTTGAGAAGACACGCGGAAATCCCTTTTATTTGAAACAACTTCTAGTGTCTCTTTACAAATCAGGAAAAATTTTTTTCAACAATTCATTGAAATTGCTTTCATGGAATCTTGATGAAATTCAAAAAGTGCACTACACCCAAAATGTAGTGGATTTTCTCTTGCAAAAATTTGCCATTATGAACCTAACAACAAAAAAAGTATTGGCCTTTGCATCATGTATTGGATCACGATTTGCTTTTAATGAGCTCAGAGACTTACTGAACATCAAAATTAATGAGTTTTCGATTATTGATTTGAAAGAAACAATTGATAATGCCATCAAAGAGGGCTGGCTTAGTTATGTGGACTCTAAAGTT